TAAATATTTTTTTCGAGAAAATTTTTTGATCGAATCATATACAAAAATGAATAAAAATTGAATGTATGCAAGATTTATTTAATTTATAAATTTTCTTTGACATGTTACTGCTTTTTGTTATATTAGAATGGCGTTACGTTTAATTTTTATTTTAGCAATATGATGGTGTACTGCAATCTCGTGAGTATATGAAAAAATCCCGAGAAAATGGCTTTGATTCGAAAGAACTTAAGCTCTATTGGAATGTGGAACAAATTGAAAATCTTTGTCCTGAATCAAGCGAAAAAATTCTGTTTGATCCATCGGATGATGATGCTGTTGAAAATCTTCGTCAATATCCTGTTAGTGAACGAAATCATAGTGGTAAAATAATTTATGTAACAAATGGCATCGAAAAAGCAGTTTTTGATGTACCGGAAAACGTTCAAATTATTCTTTTGAATTTTGCAGTAAACGATTTTGTTTTTTTGCTTTTTTTTTTTTATAAAATATTTTATTTTAAAGAATGAACAATCTCCAGGTGGTGGATATTTAAGACATGCACGTAAATTCTATTAAATAAACATTTTCTTTCAATTATTTATTGTTCTTTTTTTGTTTATAGGAGCACAAGAAGAAGTTCTTCTTTATAATTCTGATGGTTATCGTGCATTACTTGATCTAAAATATGGACGAATGAATGGTGGTTATGCAATACCTGAATTTGGATTAGCTTATGTTCGTAATATTCGAATTTTTAAATCGTTATCATCGGATGAATATCGAAAAGCTGATATGTTAGTATCTGCTTGTTATTGTATGAGTGGACATGAACTTTATAATAATCCAAGAACTAAAGCTGACGTAACTATTGAAATGATAATTCTAATGATTTATTTTGTTTTAGTAAAGTATTTTTTTTTAAATTTAAATATTGATTTATATTATAGTGGGAAAAAAAGAATTTATCAAAATTTCGTGCGTTTATAGCAGCGGCTGTTGCCAATACAATTGGTGATGGAAAAAACACGTATCTTCTACTTGGACCTATTGGTACTGGTGCATTTGGAAATGATGTTAATTCTATTGGTGAAGTTTTTCATAAAGCACTTAACTTACCAATGATGGGTTCGAAAGGATCAATAAAACATGCTTTTGAACAGATTTGGTTTGTTTCGACTGATCGATGGAAAAATGACGAATTCAAGAAGATCTTTGCTAGAGATAAATCCGACAACTAGTAAAAATCTTATTTTTCCTTTGCACTATTGCATTGAAATGTGACAAAAATAAAAAGATTTTTATATACAGTAAAACCTCTATCTCCTATGTCAACAACTCGTTATACTGAACACCTCGACATTCTGAATGTAAACACTTTTTTCAGTCCCACCATATGAATCACCCTTTGTAATATGAACATGAACAGAATGCTATGTGAATACACCAATCATGATTCTTAATTCAAAGTAAATTAGTTGGTTCGATATTGAAGTCTTAATACATAGTCAAAATAAGCTACATACAAAAGTGTATGTAACTTATCCTTAGTCGTGCGAGTCAATACAAATGCATTCCAAATTTTATTCTTATCTATCCAAGAATAGTTTGACAAGCGTGTAGGAAATTTTGTTATTGTAAGTGAATAGATTGATACAAATCGAATTATTACAATTTCATTATTTTCGGAAATTATCTTACGAAATTAATTTACACTTTCAGTACATTTAGTATAATAATTTTAGTTGAATTAATTAGTATCTATTTTTCGTAAAAATAAAAAATATTATTAATAAAATAGTCAATATAAGAAAATACACAAAAGATGTTAAACGAATATAGAAATTTAACTGCGGTTACATTAGAAATCACCTTTGTAAGTTGAAATGAAAAAAAAGAATCTTTCTGTGAGACGCTCTAAGCAATTCATTTTGAATTATCTATTAACTTTTGACTTCTCCAGATTTTTGTTTTTTACATTTCAATTGAAATGATAATTTTCGTTCAATTAAGAAATCTTCAAATTGATCATTTTTGAAACCAAAAAGAAAAGCTTCTCAATGATAAAATTAAAGATAGTTTGTGTTAAAAAAACAATTTTAGATATGATAAGCATTCGACTTAATCATCTACATCTGTTGGTATGAATATTCCAGACTAGTAGAGTCCTTGGGATTTTATGGATTCACTGCTGAAGGAAAAAAAACACTATTTTGGGACTTCATATCTCGGCACTGAAAAAAGATACTGAACTGAAATTTTTTTCAAACATATCTTGATGAAATTTCACTGTATTAAAAATTTCAGCTTGATTGAGAGAAGTGTTTTGTCCACCATAATACTTTGTGCAAAATCAGTTTTAGTGCCAAGAACTCATTTTTCTCGAAAAATAAACCTCAGCTTTTTCTCGGACTACTCCAGTCTTAAAGAGCAAACTGTGATCTGTATCATGACATAAGAACCTACTTGGGATACCTCGAAACGACTTTGCAATCGATTCATCTTTTTGGCAAGAAATGTAATCAATGATTTTTTCTGTCCGTTTTAAATAATAAATTAGTAAAATTTTGGGAAAGTATGGACAGATGTTGTTGCTAGCAAATGAAATGTTCCCCTCATTGTACTCTATCATCCCATATGTTCTTCTGTATTTTAGTATTTACTCTTAATAAGTTATTACATCGATCAGCAATCAGATATGATACATCTCCTAGATGGCTTACTTGATTGAACTTCGAGTAGCAGATATATGAAACGAACACTTTCAAGATAATCATTACAAATTCAGAATTGTCAAACACAATAAAGCCGCTTGAATACATTTAGATTCGAACTATTAAATAAGAATAAAACACATGGACATAATGTGCTATTTTTGAGATTTTTCAGCCTCTGTTTATTTAATTTGAGGAATGTCATACGTGGTTGTTTTACTAGAAATTAGCCAAGGTGTAAATAAATGAGTCGCTTTATTTTCTCATCTCTTTTTTTGTAGGTAAATATATTGATAATTCCGATTCATGATAAATCAAAAATTACATGTCTATGTCTAATATAATTTTAAAAATTTCAAATTTCAAACGAAAAAAGTTAGCTTCCATCAACAGTTTATATTAACCAAATTAACAAAAAGAATTACACATGTACATGTTAACCTACTTGAAATTTCGCTGAATAAAAATTGTCTTGAACGGTCGGCATTTTCCTATCAAATTTTGGATGTGAGTGAGTGGGTGTGAGTATCAATGTGGATGAACATCAAAATCCACACCCACCCTCATTCTTTAGTCCGAGAACATCGCTAACATATGATGTTTATATGTATATATATGTTGTAGGCAAAATTGAAATGCGGGCAAATTTTAAATTTGCCTAGGCAAAATTGAAATTTTAATTTTGACTAGGCAAAATTAAAATTTTAATTTTGACTAGACATTGCTTGGGCAGAATTGAAATTTTAATTTTGCCTAGGCAAAATTAAAATGCCACTAGAGATAAATTCATAGCATCAAAACAATTAAAAGTGAATCGAATATTTTTTTTTATTCAACAATTTTTCTTTATTTAACTAAACGATTTACAATAAAAAAAAACATTTTAATCTATTCACCCATATTTGTACAACCACCTCGTTTTGAATGACATTTTGTTGAACAATAAACCCCCATTTTTTTACACGAACATTGTTCCCTCGACTGAAAGGAGGGTCATATGAAAAAAAATAGTTTGCTTGCTTGTCGCAGGTCAAAAGAACATATATGAGAGGTCAGCTTATTTTAAGACTTTTCGCTGTTTTGACGGAACTTTGCTATAGGT